CAGCTCTATCAACTAATGACTCAGTTTTGGCTCACAAATTTTTAAAGCTAAACTCGATTTTTTGTTGTGTCCCTCATACAATTTGTTTGAGATCAATATTGTAGCATCTAATTTTCTTCAATGTGAATGGACACAGCCATACGGATGCAGCAATTGCTTTAATTTTTGAAAAATCTAGTTCAGTATTCAAAAAATTGACTTCGGCGACTTTTGAAATAAAAGAAGTCGTTCAGGAGCTCTGCATTTGATTAATAAGATTCTAAGTGAGATTCAGTTTTTTTTACCTTTTGCATCATTATATATCTCAAATAGATCCTAACTGGTTTTTGCAGATGACACTTTTTTGTGGTATTAAGAATTCATGAATTTTTAAATCGTATTTTTAACTTTTCTTCTCGTATTTCTGTAATTTTGAGTTTCTGTTCAGACGGATTGTTGAACAATTCTTAGCGTAATTTATTTTTTATAGGTATTTCATTTTAATTGGAAATTGATACCCATGGTGATTTTTTTCTAACAGGATAATTTTTGAGGGGTGCATATCTTGAGACAAAATGTACCAAGTTATCTGCTAATGCCTAGAGGCTGAATTTATGATCCAGTAGCGGTAGACTGGTTTGAGGGATCAAGCTTAAAAAATACATCCTTGAGAGGATTGCTTGATTGCTCAATTGTTCCGAGAGTTATAAATTGTTTATCAGACACATATTTCTATCTAAGGTCATATTTTGAGCATAGTGATCAAAGATATCCAATTTATTAACTTTAACGGAACCTATATTAATTTTTATAGCTGAAAATTGTCAATTTTTCTTCAAGAAAAACCAACCAACACTTGCAAACTTTTTTAAACGTTTGCGCTAATTTTAAGAAATATTACACATAAATTTTGTTGGAACATGTAAGAAGCTCACTGTAAAATAGATTTGTCAGAAATTAAACCGAAAATTTTGGAGTAAAATTTGCTTGACAATGAGAAGCTAAAATTTATTTTTTTTAAAGTTAAAATGATGGGCACGACTTTTTCAAAGTGAGCTATATCATAATGGTTTTGATAAAAACCGAAGCTTTTTGTCTTATTCGTTTTTTGTCTAAAATCAACCCAATTTGAGAAAAAAATGGTTTTAGTTTTCTAGTTTTGTTCGTTTTATACTTCTGAAAACAGCAAGAAGAACCTGGAAATGAAAACAACTGTTTATTGAGTTCTGTGAGAAAGGAACACTAGGTTTTCGGAGACACTGATAGAAAAGTGGTAAATGAAAACTCCGTCTGTCGAGCACCTGTTGATGACGTCAAATTTACTATGAGAATGATCCTACTGGATATTATTTAGGAAACTAGCCAAAAAATAAAACGTTCTACCCAAAATTTTCATTGATTACAGATACCATGATGTTGCTTGCCGTTTTTTTACGCCGCGACAATCTATATAAACGTATATTTTTTCGATTATGTCTGGTTACTTCCGGATTGTATTTTATTAAACCAAAACCTAGTGCAGTCATAGAAATTGGAGTGGAGAAATTGGCGTGGTTACATGTCAAAGAACTAGAGGACCGGTGAAACTGTAAACGGCGTTGACGATAAGAAAATTAATCAAAACATTTATGAAGAAATAACTTACTTCAGTGGTATATGGGTCTTAAATACCATGAGCGTTCTTAAACTACCACCCATTTTCCTGAAACTTGTTTCAACTTAACACTCTTTATAAAACCCAATCAGCTCGTATCAGGTCAAAGACTCAGGTAAATTTTTCGAATTACCCTACAATCCGAAGGTGAAGTCTTATTTATTTCAAAATCAAACACTGATTAAGTTTTTTTTGAAAAATTTCAAATTAGGCCACAAGCCTTGCAAAGTACAAAGTGACCTTACTAGAAACTTAGAGTTTGGTAACGTAATAATAGTTTCAGATAGCTTGTCTTAAGTCATTTAGAAACAATTTTTGAGCCGAGTTAAACCGCCACTCACACGCTAACAGAAAGAAAACTATAGCGTGTTGTTTATTCACAATTGCCAATTTTCATACAACCATCATTTTACGAAAATTGATCAAAAGCAAAATATATGTTCGTATTGGAGCCACGGCGTTGATACTTTTCCGGTGGTAAAAAAAAATCTTGTCAAAATTGACATGTTAAATGACTTGGAAAAAACCACACTGAGCACCAATATTCTATTCCCTCTTTAAAACTCGAAAACAATTCAAATAAAATTGATTAATTTTTTCCATCATTCTATCCCCCCAAACGGGGCGATTAAAAAAAAGCATCTCAAACTCTATTAGTCATATTTCAGAAACTAAAAGCAATTGAGCAGTCACAATGGGTGACAAAATTTTCAACTCATGCGAATAAAACAGAAATAACCCTCGAAATAGTAAAACTTATCAAAGTAGTACTTTTATGATTCGAATCTGCGACCTCAAAACTTGGAGTCGCAGTCCCTGCGCTTTCGGCCACGAACGCTTAGCAATCGTCAAACAATAGTAATAAAAAGCAGCTGCATAGGCTAATAAAGTGCCAATGCGATGCAGCAAAAGAGTCACTAAATACGAATAGACACAACTTTGCATGTAATAATTTGGAAAATAACAAGCTGACAGCATCCATGTCAAATTTGCATTTTATTAATTGGAAAACCTAAATCGACAATATTTATAAATTCAGCATTTTAAAAACTGCGAGATTTAATGAAATAGAATTTTTGAAATCGAGTTTTTGCACTGTTGTTTGAAACAAATAGCTTTTTTTGGTTCATTTCATTATAAATAAAGTGAATCACATGAGTTAACTTATTATTTAACTCTTACTTTAAGTCTTAAGAGTTGCCACCGTAAGTCTTAAGAATCACCTGAGTTAACTTATTACTTAGGTCTTACCTTAAATCTTAAGAGTCTTCACTTAAGTCTTAAGAAATGCCAAAAATGTGGCACCTGTGTCTGCAACTTAGATTAGAAAAAAGAATAGCCGTAGTTTTACACTGCGCTCACGAAAACTCGCTAAAGTAAAACAGTTGTTGCCCGAAAAAATCTTGATTTGATAGCGATATGTAACTGCAAGCGTTAGTCGAAATTTGACTGAATTAAAAAAGTAACAGAAACATAAATAATCCGTCATTTTTCGAAAGTCAAGTCAAACCAATTAGCATACCAGTGCGCGAAATGTTGTTGATAGAGCAGAGGAATTCCGAATTTGAACATTTTTTACTTCTGATTTTTCGAAAACGCTTAAATAAACTTGAAAAATTGTAAAACCTCGGAAATTAATGCAATTGAGCAGTCATTTTCAGAGGCAAGGGCTGCACTCTGAGAGTACCTTGACGGCACCCAACTACAGGGTTGGGAATTTTAAATTTTATTTATCTAAGATTTCTGAGATTTTTTTAGCATCTTAAAAACCGTCGTACATCGTAAGCTGAAAATATCTGGATGTTCATGTTTGGAGGCCAAACGCACTTCCCTGCGAAGCCCTAATAAAATCCCACTATCGGGTTGCTAACTTCAATTTTGATGAATTAATCATTGAATTCGAACTGCTAAAAATTGAAGAAAAAAAATCGTTGCAGTCTACAATGTGGGTTAAACGTGAAAATTTATTTTTTTTCGTTAAAAGTGCAAAAATATGACGTTGAAAGAGCTTAAGCACAGAAGGATAATGTAGCTTGCATTAAAGTTTATACTAGATTACAGTTTTTAAAAAAGATCCTCGTGGGTTGATTTTGAGCATCAAAATGTTTGGAACCCTCGTCCGATTGATCTCAAGGATAAAATCAAAAACTTTTAACAAAAATAAATAAGCCGACAGAATTGAAGCCGAAAGCAAACTAAAAATATAAGCAAGGTGATATACACCATTCCAAATTTGAACCGATAGAGCTTAAGTCTCAAATACCATGAAGCGGAAAATCATCAGGAAAAGGTTATTATTCCATCTATTATTATACATACAATAATTAGAATTCGGGATACATCATTTAAAAGTAATTACTAATAATTAGTATTCAATTTGACTTTTTGTGAAATTGAGCATGTCAGCAGCATCCCAAAAATTCAAGTGAATTTGTTAACACTAGCCAGAAAACGGTAAAAATGCAGCTTTATAAGAAGATTAAGAAAAAATAGAAATGTCTCGAATTAGTTTAACTGTGATACGCATGGGATTCGAACCGGCATCTTCGAACTTAGGAATCTAACGCCCTGCCCTCTCGGCCACGATCACTCAGCAATCGGCGAACACTAGCCACAAATAAAGCAGCTAATTATGCTAATGAATTGCCAATGCGATGCAGAAAAAGTGCCTATAAAAAGTTCACGCAATTTTGCTTGCAATAATTTGGAATATAGCAAACTGAAGGCATCCACGCTAAATTTGCAGATAATTAATTGGAAAGCACAAATCCACAATATGTAATGTCTAAATTATGCATTTTAAAAAACTGGGAGATTTATTGAATTAGAAATTTTCTGAATTCGAATTTTTGCACTGTTGTTTGAAACAAATAGCTTTTTTTCGGTTCATTTGATTAATTAAAAATGAATCAACTGAGTTAACTTATTACTAATCGAATGTCAAAAGACCTGCTATTAAAGTCGTTTTAAGACCTGCTATTAAAAGTCGTATAGCAGGCCAATTCCTGATTTGATAGCGATTGCTAATCGCAAGCGTGAACTTTGACTGAATAAAAAAAACTACCCCAAACATAAATAATCTGTCATTCTTCGAAAGTCAAATTAATTAGCATAAGAGTACGCTAATCGTTCGCGTAATATTATACTGATGCTGATTGCTTTTCGAAATACTCAAGGCGTTAGGAGTGTGAGATGATCGAATGTACATTTTAATCGATCATTTCACACTCGTGTTGCTTTAGTAATTTCGTGGTTAAACCGATTAAATTGGTTCCTTCTCAAATATAACACTTCCTATTGAACTCAGTAAACTTGGGAAACATCCTTCTCAAACAATTTATTTTGAAAAAAAAGTTTAATCTAAGACTGTCGGTCTGTGCGCCCCAATCGTTCTAATTAAGAAAAGTTACTACGATTTCAAATTCTGAACGTCAAAACTACTATGCAATTCATCATCTACTTCAGTTTGCTTCAAGAGTTCATTTTCCGTCGAATGACGCCGCGGCAGCTTCAACAACAGTTCCATATCAATGTTACAGTGAGTTTTAAGAATAGAGTTTACGTGTTGCATGTTGTTCAGAACTGCTTCTACTTTAAACTGTGGTTCCACCAAAGTGTCTTCAGTTGAAATTGGACCCAGAGTTTGCAGAGAGACTTTGTGTGCAGTGGCATATGTTCTCTGTTTGTGTGCAATTAGGTGCAATGCCTTCCTGCAGAAAAAACCACTGCAATTGTGAGTGTTCAGCTCCATTTCAACATATGGAAGAGACATTCGCTTCAGTTGTATGTCATGCAGGATTAGTGTGTTTCTGTGCAGAGTGCGTGACCTGTTGATAATGTCCTCTGCGTCTCTCTCATAACCCTCCAAATCATCATTGTCCCTAGCGGGAAGCTAAAACAAACAAGCTCTTCAATAACTCCAATACAAACGTAATCTGCTCACAGCAAATTTTTAATACTTTTCACCAATAGTTGGCTATGGCTTCTTTGAAACAAAAATCAGTTTACCACAGAAATTGGAAATATGAGAGATCATAAGACATTTACAAAAAAGATATTGCGCTTTTGTTTCCAACCAATGAAACGAACATCGTTTTCTCTGTTTATTACTTGTTGACGCATTTGCATACTAACGTAGAGTGTTGGATTTTGTGTACTCAAAACTATTTAGGGAAAAACTTCAGATCTTGTCAAACCACTTTTATAGCACCTTAAAAAATCTTCAGAAATGTTTTCCATCGAGCTTGGATACTTGACTAGAATGAAAAATTTCGTAAGTGGGATTCCAATTCAAAAAATCTCACACGGATTTCATGGTTTCATCAAAACCTGTTTGATTATGATTCGAATTCCAAAATACTCAAAGGTTCTCCGAGCGTAAAAATTATTTAAAGTTTTTTGTTTGCTATTCAGCAGCAAACATAAAGTTTGTTATTCAAATTAAAACTTAGCGATGAGCTCTTTTGAAGGGGTTACGCGCCTCCACCTCTCAATCGACAGGTCGGTTGTTCGATGCCCACCATGATTCATGCTCGTTGCTTGAGGGCGAGGTAACATTACAGAGCCCAGAAAAATAAACAAAAAATATGCATGCGTCTCTTAAGTAGTGATACAACAGCGGTTGTCCGTGATGAGCTGAACAGCTCGTATGTTGGCCATTTTCCTAGTGGATAAACCGTCTTTACTCTTAACGAGTTGATAAATCAAAGAGCATACTATTCTTTTGCACATACACATGATAGTTTCCTACTTTTTTACAACACTATAAAATTCATTGATGTACTTTAAAAGCATACAATAATCTGCTGGTAAATCATTTCTCCTAAAGTTTTGAACCGCATTTTTTGCGACAGAAACTGTGTTCAAAAACATTCTAGGAGTAGCTGACCATCCATGTTATCTAAAAAAGGCTGAATTTTTTTTACATATCCTTTAAGCTAGCAAAAAAGAATTCGAGGCCAAGATTTAATTCTTTGCCTATTAAGAGATTTTAGCAACAATAAACAATACCACCTCTAGAATTGAAATTGAATGGCCGACTGACGCCATCAAAGAACGTTTCAGTAGTTTACATATATTATTTTAAAAAGTTTGAATAAAGAAAGAATTCAATTATTCTGAAAATAAATGAGATAATAAAATATATTAAAAACCGAAAATTTTGGTTTGCCAAAATTAAAGCATTTCATAAGATAAATCAAAAGATGGCCAATCAATTCAGTCAAAAAAGCAAAAATTTTAAGCACATTTCTCTCAACAGCGGGACTATTTTTAACACAGAGGCGAAGCTACGCTTCGCAAACACGAGCGAGGAAAATGCAAAAGAGAGCTCTAAACAGGCAAAACAAAGTGAAATAAGGATTAAAAATACACACTGAAAAATTTTTTCTCGAGACCAGGAGTATCACGTCCTCATATATGATCCACGACGGCTTGTAATTTTACTAACACTAGCAACCAATAAAGCAGCTACAGTTTCTATCAAATTGCGTATGTTAAGCAGCAAAAATTTGACCAAAAAGTAAAACTATTCAAATTTTCCGGATTTGAATATCCGACCTGTTAATTAGGAGTCTTACGTCATCAAATCTGCGCCACAGTAATTTTATTTGAAAAAATGAGCTTAACGCTTAAACCTAGTATTTGTCTGTTTCAATAGGGGATTAACCACTTATTTAAAGGAAAAAAACGACTCTTCGCTCTTTCAATTGAAGTCTTTATCTCCGATTTGGCTGGGTACTTTTCGAAAAAAAAAGCGAATAAGATTCCTAAAATCGATCAAAAAATTGATATTTTTTCTAATTCAATAAATTTTTCTCTGCTTGAGCAAGGGAAGAGCCAATGCTTTCCACACTCTGATTTCTAGAAGGAAGACTACCGCACCTTGATTTTTCAGATTGAACACTTAATATCAGATTCAGCTAATAGTTTTCGAGGATAGTGACAAAATTTCTAAAAAAACAGTAAAAAATTAAAAAGCAATGTATCAGAAGTCCACATCAGCTTTTCCATAAAAAACAGGGCAAAACAGATTATTCAGAGAAAATTGATTCACCATGTTAGTTTTAATGAACTATCAACCTTCAGAATCAGCAGGTTAGTTTTTGAAAAAGAATAACTTTTCTCTGGACATTTTCTCAGGCCATAATTTTGTTCAAAACCCAGTGAATAGCCACTTGCGCTGGTAAGATTTGCATAACTGACTTTTTTTGTTCGGTTGAACCCTTAATCTCCGAGTAGTTGATGAGAAAAGTCAAAAAAAAATTTAAAAATTAACCAAATTGTCAAAAATGGGCTTGTTTGAGACCTCAACTTTTTCTACCGAAATTAGGGAATAGCCGCTTGAGAAGGAGAGATCCCTATGATTTGTTCTTTTGTTTGAAACCTTGATCTCATATTTGTGCATTTAAAATTTGAGTAAATGAAAAAAAAAATCAAAACAAATAGACCGAAAAGCCCCTATTGAAACTTTCGAAGACCGTAGAACGTGAGGCAAAATGAAAATAGACAAGCCAAAAAACTAGGCACGAGTAGCCAGTGTTTCCATTGCTACCATTTTTTTTTTGAAAATCGATAAAGTAGTATTTAAAAAAACTGAAACTTCTGCGAAAAGTGAAAAAAATTCCAAAGCGTCGCAAAAAAAACTAAAAACAACAAATCCCATATATACATGTTTTTTCAAACAGGAACTAACATTATTCAAAATAAATCTGCATTATATGCCTTCAAATTGGTTACACTTAAATAAGCTTTAAATTGATTCAATTGAAATATACCAAAGTGCCACCAAATGAGCATTTTATTTGCGACTTAGGTTAGAAAAAAAATCTCCGTAATAATACACTACGCTTCGTTAGTGTAAAAATCATTTGACTGTAACCACAGCCAATCAATATGATCGTAATCCAACAACTGGGAACAAATGACAGTTGGGAAGAGGTAACCACATGGAACATTATTCTATCTAGAGTAGTCTTGAAATAAAACGCGTTGAAGAGACAAATTAACATCTTTATAAGTCTAAATATATTTTTTAAACAGAAGCCAAACTGCACTTCGCAAACACAAGCAACAAAATAGTAGCTCTAAAAAACTTGTCTTCTGCCGAAATCCAACTACCGAAATCCAACCACCTGGAGATTAGGCGCCTCACGTCCTCGCTACGGTCGCTGAAATATTTAGTCAGACTAGCCAGAAATAAGGCAGCTACAGATGCTATTGAATTGCCGCTGCTATGCATTGAAGCAGAAGTGTCACTAAAAGAGTACTTCATTTGTGTGCTAGATTCGAAAAAACTTAGAGTTCGCAATATGACTCTACGCTCGCTAGTTCGGTTGTGTAAACATATCTCAAACGACAGTCGAGTTGCGTCAATATAATATTGCCTTTTCTTTTTATATTTGGCGTAGCGATAAAAACAATTGCTTCCAAATTTTGATTTTGCAGCGGAAAAAGACTGAATCTCAAATTGCTCCTCACTCAATGATCGTAACGAACACTTTTTCACTCTATCAACTGGGAATACTAAGAGACTAGTTTGACGCTACTCTTTCTTAATATTCCATATACAGCTCTTAATTTGCAATCCCGATAGAATTCACTTAAGCAATAGCAAATCTCTTACGTTTAAATGGAAAAACATAGCCAATCGAAGATCTGAAAAGAGTAATGAACGCAAACAAACAAAAAAACACTGACTTTGTCGAAAAAATCTCAACTATCGAATTTCAAAGAAAAAAATAGATACCCTTTAAGCTCTTTGAACTTCTAGAACAATTTATGAACGTCATTTTTTGATAACATGAACCCAACTAAAGAAAACTGTATCAATAGATAAAGTTTTCATTCCGCTCGAAATCTAAAAAACAGATTCCACTTTCGAAACAAGAAATCGTTCACGTTCGATTTTTCGCGCCATTTCCACGTTCGTATTTGGAGAGTGCTATTTACGTCACTTTCAGCAGATGAATTTCAGTTGAACTCAAAAAAAGCATTATACCGAAGTGCATCAGTATTTTAAGACTTTTTCCTAAAAAAAAAACAAAAAAACAATCAGCAAGACCTATATAAGAATCTTCACTATGTTCATTACTCTTAATCACTACGTTCATTACTCTTAAAAAATGGAACAAATAGCAGTTCAATTGTGAAATGAAGATGCTTACAGCGAGTTGTTTGCGTAGCCCCACTTGGTAGTCATACACAAACTGGAACATCTTCTTCTTCAGCCACTTCCGCTCCACCTGACTGTATTCACACCTGTGTCTGTTGCCCCCACCCAGAGTGTGATCATCAGTTGCCAGTCCAAACTCCCCCACCACTCTGAACTTCTGTCTCCAGTCCAGTTTAACAGCCTCGTCCCTCACTGCTTTGGATACCTCCTGTTATCGAACATTTTAATATATATTTTTGACATTTAATTTAGTTCAAACTTAATTAAAAAACTATGATTTCAAATATATATTTTGTAATTTTATTTAAAACCAGATTCCAAATTTAATTTTTAAATATTATTCTTTCAAAAAAATTACTATCTCTTTTTGGTGGAGCCATAGCCGCCATAGTTTAAGAATAAAAAAAATCTATGCCTGTGGCTATAAATAAAGGCAGTTACAGACGCTTCTATTTTACAGTTTTTATGGTTAAAGGACTTTTTGTTGGAACAATGTCCTCGTTTCCGCTGCAATTTAATGTAATTGCTACTACTTTTTGCAACCAGAACAATAACATAATTTCAAAAAATAAAGAAAAGGCTCCATTCAATGCTCACTTCTGTCTAAAAAACTTCAAAAAATCTGTAAATCTTCATAAGCGCAATAAACTATCACATTATAACACATTCATAAACCGAGAGGATTTTCAATTTAAATCACAAGCCAAGTCCGTACTGTGGCAACTTAGTCGAACATATAAGCAGAAAAACGATCGTCCGAAAACTATTCCTTTCAAGAGGAAACTTTTCCAGTTTTAAAAAAGCAGGCCCAGGCTGGATTCAAGCGTATTGCGATAGCTTGAATTGTTTCTCAAAAAATTAAGTTTTATGCAGCAAGCTACTCAAGTGATGAGATTTTGAAAGGCTTCGACGCGTTTTCAGGTCTCAATTCGGTTCGCAAAAAACAAAAGCGAAGAAATTTTGAAACATTTCAATTGGCTTTGATGACTTAAATTGGTTTGCCAAAAACACATCTTGAATTGCCCAGAACTTGAATTGCTCATGAATAGATATCTAAATGATTCTGTCATTCAGTTAGACAAAAGTTATTAAAGCGAATTGCGATAGCTTGAATTGTTTCTCAAAAAATTAAGTTTTATGCAGCAAGCTACTCGAGTGATGAGACCTTGAAAGGCTTCGACATGTTTTCAGGTCTCAATTCGGTTCGCAAAAAACAAAAGCGAAGAAATTTTGAAACATTTCAATTGGCTTTGATGACTTAAATTGGTTTGCAAAAAACATAACTTGAATTCCCAGAACTTGAATTGCTCATGAACCGAGCTTCAAATGATTCTCTCATTCAGATAGACAAAAGTTATTCAAGCGAATTGCGATAGCTTGAATTGTTTCTCAAAAATAAAGTTTTATGCAGCAAGCTACTCGAGTGATGAGACTTTGAAAGGCTTCGACGTGTTTTCAGGTCTCAATTCGGTTCGCAAAAAACTAAATCGAAGAAATTTTGAAACATTTCACTTGGCTTTGATGACTTAAATTGGTTTGCAAAAAACATAACTTGAATTCCCAGAACTTGAATTGCTCATGAACCGAGCTTCAAATGATTCTGTCATTCAGATAGACAAAAGTTATTCAAGCGAATTGCGTTAGCTTGAATTGTTTCTCAAAAAAATTAAGTTTTATGCAGCAAGCTACTCAAGTAATGAGACTTTGAAAGGCTTCGACGTGTTTTCAGGTCTCAATTCGGTTCGCAAAAAACAAAAGCGAAGAAATTTTGAAACATTTCAATTGGCTTTGATGACTTAAATTGGTTTGCAAAAAACATAACTTGAATTCCCAGAACTTGAATTGCTCATGAACCGAGCTTCAAATGATTCTGTCATTCAGATAGACAAAAGTTATTCAAGCGAATTGCGATAGCTTGAATTGTTTCTCAAAAAAATTAAGTTTTATGCAGCAAGCTACTCAAGTGATGAGACTTTGAAAGGCTTCGACGTGTTTTCAGGTCTCAATTCGGTTCGCAAAAAACAAAAGCGAAGAAATTTTGAAACATTTCAATTGGCTTTGATGACTTAAATTGGTTTGCAAAAAACATAACTTGAATTCCCAGAACTTGAATTGCTCATGAACCGAGCTTCAAATGATTCTGTCATTCAGTTAGACAAAAGTTATTCAAGCGAATTGCGATAGCTTGAATTGTTTCTCAAAAATTAAGTTTTATGCAGCAAGCTACTCGAGTGATGAGACCTTGAAAGGCTTCGACGTGGTTTCAGGTCTCAATTCGGTTCGCAAAAAACAAAAGCGAAGAAATTTTGAAACATTTCAATTGGCTTTGATGACTTAAATTGGTTTGCAAAAAACATAACTTGAATTCCCAGAACTTGAATTGCTCATGAACCGAGCTTCAAATGATTCTGTCATTCAGAAAGACAAAAGTTATTCAAGCGAATTGCGATAGCTTGAATTGTTTCTCAAAAAAATTAAGTTTTATGCAGCAAGCTACTCAAGTGATGAGACTTTGAAAGGCTTCGACGTGTTTTCAGGTCTCAATTCGGTTCGCAAAAAAACAAAAGCGAAGAAATTTTGAAACATTTCAATTGGCTTTGATGACTTAAATTGGTTTGCAAAAAACATAACTTGAATTCCCAGAACTTGAATTGCTCATGAACCGAGCTTCAAATGATTCTGTCATTCAGATAGACAAAAGTTATTCAAGCGAATTGCGATAGCTTGAATTGTTTCTCAAAAAAATTAAGTTTTATGCAGCAAGCTACTCAAGTGATGAGACTTTGAAAGGCTTCGACGTGTTTTCAGGTCTCAATTCGGTTCGCAAAAAACAAAAGCGAAGAAATTTTGAAACATTTCAATTGGCTTTGATGACTTAAATTGGTTTGCAAAAAACACAACTTGAATTCCCAGAACTTGAATTGCTCATGAACCGAGCTTCAAATGATTCTCTCATTCAGATAGACAAAAGTTATTCAAGCGAATTGCGATAGCTTGAATTGTTTCTCAAAAATTAAGTTTTATGCAGCAAGCTACTCGAGTGATGAGACTTTGAAAGGCTTCGACGTGTTTTCAGGTCTCAATTCGGTTCGCAAAAAACTAAATCGAATAAATTTTGAAACATTTCAATTGGCTTTGATAACTTACATTTGTTTGCAAAAAAACTCAAAGTTAGTTGAAGCAAGGTAATCGAGCGATGAAACCTTGAAATAATCCAAGTCACTTCGATAGCTTAAACTGGTTTCGATTAAAACAAACTTTTTTTCGAAACAAACAACTGAAGCGAAGTGCGTACGAAGCACTTGAAGTTCTTCTTGATAAATTGAAATTATTGAAATGAGAGAGCGACGAAACTTGAATTAAGGTTGCAAAAACCTATCTTGGGAAAAATGAAGCTCTGAAGCTAAACTTTCACCGTCTTGGAACGAAAGTATACATCATAGAAAAAAACATTGTTATGGTTACTTGGTTTGTTTTGAAGATGGATCTTTACACACAAAACTCCAGCCAAAAAATTGACAAGAACTGTCGAGCATTGATGAAGAAAAGAGTAGTTTTTTTATCTTTAAAAATGGACTTTTTACAAAAAAACCTTAAATTTTTTTGACCTCAGAACAATTGGAACTTACAGAAGTCTAGTCTCTTAACGTTCTTAAAATCTGAGGTCAATGGCCGCTTTGAACCATCGTTAAGCGTAGTGAACACAGCATTCATAAAAGTTATAGAATGTCAAAACACGGCATAGATAGCTGATTCTGAGCTTTCATTCAAACAGAGAGGCGAAGCTGCACTTCGCAAACAAGCAAAAAAAATGCAAAGCAGTAGCTTTGAAACAGTAAAAAAAATCTACGAAAAACTTTGAAGAATAAATGTCCTCTGCGGGAATCGAACCTCAGACCTTCCGCTTTCAAGTTTTCCAGTTGACTGCACTAAACATTTGAGCAAAAAAGCAGCAAAAATGCGTCTTAAAAAGCACAAAAACAAACTTTGCATGTAACCATTGGTAATGACATAAGCTAAACGCAACCACACTTTAAATTGGAAAGTTTTAGCCAAAGCTGCGTGTAAACTATGCAATACAAAAATTCGCCAAAAAGACTAAGTATCAACAATTCTGATTTTTTTTGTTGTGACTACTGAATATGGGAGGAACTTCGTATTCGGGTGTGTTTTAGTTTTTCTCTTTTTGTTTTCCACACAAAATCAGGTACCACAAATAATCATCGTAATAGGTCGTGATATATCATCTTGAAGCCCTTTCAATCGTTATTTCAACAACTTTCCAAAGAATTTTTAAAAAAAAGTTGTCCCAGTCTCAAAAAAAAAACGGGTGTAAAAGTTTTGATTTTAGTCCAAATTCGAGCGAATAAAGCGAGCGAGCAGCAGATTTACATGAATATGAAAAGCGTATTTATGCTTACTTTAAGCCATGAAAATTTAATTTTACTCAAAAAAGTCGTTCAAGCTCAATAGCGCCATTTTGTGAATTAAAACCTTCAAAAAATCAAAAGTTTCTGCAAAAAAAACGAGAAATTTTTGTATCTTTTATAATTGTTTTGTTTTTCTTGTTATTTTTCTTCAACTGTTGCCCAATTTGCTTATTTTACTATGACTGAAGTTCAGATTCTTTCATCACACCACGCAGAAAAAACGACAGTTTGACACAGGCGAAGCAAAAAGCAGCTCTATAAAGTGCAATATGAAAAAATTGGAAGAAGCCTCGAATTAGCAAAAATTCGACTAGGTCTAGGATTCACTCTGCGACCTACTACAATCAATCTCACGCACTTATCACTTAGCCAGGCACGCTAAACTACTTATAATTACTAGTCACAAATAAAGCAGCTACAAATGCTAATAAATTGCCAATGCCATTCAGCGAAAGTGGCACCAAATGCAAATAGTCAATACTTTGCAAGTAATAATTTGGAATATAACAACCTGAAGGCAACCACACTACCTTCGCATGTAAAAATCAGAAATCATAAAATCACATTATGTATAAATTATGCATTTCAAAAAATGTTTGAAAAAATTGCTAGATTGAGTTGGAAATCGAATTTTTATTATTTTTATGTTGTTTGAAACAAACAACTTTTTTTTCGGTTTATTTGATGAATAAAAAAGCATCAACTAAGTTAACTTATTACTATTCGAATGTCAAAGCCCATGCTGTCAAAAAATGTAAGGTGCCGCAAAAAGTGGCACCAATATTTGCGACTTAGGTTAGAAAAAAGAAGGTTCTTAATAAAACATTAAGCTGACGCTAGTTTAAATAAAAAGGTTTTTACTGTAAATATTTTAAGACTTGGGTCGGAACATTCTGTGCTACTTGCACAGTAACCGGCTAATTTGTTTAATCTAACATGAATGAAAAATGAAATCAACTGTGTCAGCTTATTAATAATCAAATGGTAACGAATATGCTATTAAATAGCTTATTCAGTCTTCTGCTGAAAAGTGCCACCAGAAGTAGCACTAAAATTTGCAACTTTGCTTGGAAAAGACTGGTCTTCGATTATCACACTACACTGCACTTGTGCAAATATAGGATTGGTAACAAAAAACTTAACAGGCAAACTAGCCAAAACAATTAACACGAGTCGGCAAACAACCTCTTTGAGAAAATGTTTCATGCAAACTCGTTTTTTTTGCATAAATGAACAAATATCAAAGTGATCTTGAAAGACTGAATTTGCATGTGATATAGGTTGAAAATTTGTAGATTGTTCTTTGTAATTAATTCCATCAGCTTTTACTATCTGCTACTTGATATGCATTACCTGTCGTGGACTGACAGCCAGCAGGAGAATTCCAGAAGTGAACTGGTCCAGGTAGTTGACTCTAGAGACAGATAGAGAGGGGTGGAAGGGACCCCTGACTAGAGGGTGGTGGGGGAGGAGAGCGGACACACTGACTATTGCTAATTTGCCATCTTCAGAGACACGCTCCACTTTTGGATGACTCATCACTTCGTACTGCATTTGCACGTCTTCTGACCTAAACTGAAAGTGGTTATGTAGCACACAAGTCATAAAGCAGACAATTACTTTTTAAACCAATCAGAATTGAGATAAGAAAACAAACGTACGAAAAAAACTCTTTGTTCTTGCGTAAACTTGCTTTCCTCATCTCGATTCTGATTGCTTAATAAATGTATTTGTCTACTTTATGACGAACATGAAATAAATGTTGTCTTCGTTTTGACCGCTTTTCACTGAAAGTGCAAATAATTCATGGTGGCGACAAATGAGACGATAGTCGTTAGTTAAGACGACATTTAATTCCAAGGCGGTTTTACGAAGACAATTAATTTCACAGAGGCAAAGCTGAGCATCGCAACACTTGCGATGCGATTAAAACATTGCACTACAAGATTATGATTTAGTAAAAAAAAAATTTTGTTGACAAAATTACTCGGAAAAAGTCAAAAAAACTATCTACAAAAATTTCATATCTTTTTATCGGATGAGGTTCATAAACAGTCTAAGCAAGCATTGGGAACGAATGACCGAGCGAAAAATTAGGCAAAAAAACGTGGGTAGATCCTCGTTTAGCCGAAAACGAAATTGTTATTATGAAAGAATTTCAAGCTACAAAATGTTTACAACCAATACCCTCCTGAAGCAGGCAAATTCATTTTTTAAAAATTGTCCGAAAAACTACGCAAAATAATTTGACTAAGCCGATATATCATAAGTTGAACCCGTTTAACCGAAAAAAGGAACAAATGTATGGCCTTAAAGCTCTTTGAGTTTCTAGAACAAACTATCGGCACTTTTTCGATAACATTAACCAAATTTGAGAAAACTGGATCAAAAGGTAAATTTTTATTTCACTGGCAAATCTGAAAACTAAATTCCATTTTCGAAACTAAAAGTCGACCACGTTTTCGCGAGCTGTTAACTTTCGCTGTTCAATGGTGGAACTTGCCTTCTGTTTAAGAAAAGAAATGAACTGAACTTTAAAATAAATCAAAACTCAAACCGCGATAAAGTAAATTTGATCCTGAACAAATTTAAAGTCTTTTCCTGAAAAACAAAAACGAAAGAAAAATCATCGCAATTGATATAAGAGTCTTAAATATGTTCATGGACCTTGGAACTACAGAACAATTTCAAATTTAAGTAAAAATTTGAATCAAAAATTTAAAAAAAACCTAAGCTTTGGAATGGAACTGCTTGAAAAACGTATTGCATTTGGAACAAAACGACAAATGAGCCAAAACAAGACAACCAAAAGTAGTAAAAAAAAAATTAAGACAAACAAAAAAACAACAAATGAGTCAACAAAAAATTAGACAACCAAAGCAGCTCTTAAAAATGCAATAAGAAAAAGTAGAAATAAGCCTCGAATTAGTAAAAGGTCGGCTACGGCTCGGATTCGATCTGCAACCAAGAGACTAAGAGTCACCCGCACTAACTAATCCGCCACGGACGCTTAATAAGTACCAAATGCTAGCCACAAACAAAGCAGAGTACTGATGCTATGAAAATTCTAATGCTACAGATCGTGATTACAGCAAAAATGCCACCAAATAAGTGAACACTTATACTTGCGAGCTAGGTTGAAAAAGACGGTTTCTACTAAACCATACGCGCGCAAGCTCGCTAGTGTTAAGGAAAGTTGCCTACGGGAAAAAAAGTCGGTTTTACCAAACCATTACCCCTCCCCTTAGATAAAGTTAGTAGAATTTTCGACCAATTAGAATGCAGCAAGTTCGAATTATAAATAGAACGCCCCAGTGCTATATTACTGCTTTTATTTATAGGGGTGGTAATACTTTAGTAGATAAAATAGGGGAAAGGGATTTTTAGGTAGATGGTATAGTTCCCGATTACAATTCACTTCCTCTTGCAAAAACAGAATATAGGTCTTTTCTTATCATTGGAATACTCACTAGTTTCATATGGATGTCCTTTACCCCCAAACGAAAAATCACAAACAACCTTGATTCAACTTAAAATGCATGCATAAAAGCGGCCACTAAAAGGATAGCCGCCAATAAGGTTTAAAAAAACTCGTTCGACCAATTCATGGGGAGCAGTGGTGAAGTGGTTACGTCTCCGCCTCTCAATGGAAAGGTCGGATGTTCGAGGCCCACCATGATCCGTGCTCGTTGCTTGAGGGTACGGCAACATTACCCAGCCCAGAAAAATAACCAAAAAAAATTGCATGTAGTTCTTAAGCAGGGGCACAACAGCGGTTCGCCGTGATGAGCTGTACAGCTCGTATGTTGGTCCTATCCCTCGTGGATGAATGATCTTAAATTATCAGCCATATTAAGCGCGGAAAAAAAACACATTAAACACGGAAAAGCGTTTGAGAGTTTCTAAATTCAACTTTCGTGGTTTTAGCATAGTTTTCAAATTTTTTCTCTTGTTTCTCGGACCAAGTTAAGATCCTCGAACCCCACCCATGTTTGGGGGGATGTTAACTTGGTTCTATTTGGGAATTTTCATAAAATTCAGCCAATATGAATCGAGCAATAGCCAGTAACGCGCTCAATGCTGAGGCGAGACGGAAGATCTTAACTTGGTCCATCTGGAAAAGATAGTAATTTGATCGTTTCTGTAAAACCTGGTTCAATTAAATGACTCTGACTTGCTATTACTTTGACCAAGCCAAAGCCTCGCTGGTTTCTACTTACGAAAAAGCGCTTTGAACCAAGTTTTGCTGTAGTTGTACGAAATCCAATCGCCGTTCTGCACCTTCTGTCGTGATGCCTTTTGAGATTTGGGTCAAATATTGAGATAGCTCAGATAGTTTCTTTTGGTCTGTCTCTCCTGTATCGGTAGGCATACAGTTGTTCACCTGCTCTTCAATACCTGTTAAGGATTACACCTTCTTTAGTATCAAGTTAACGCTTATGTCAAAAAGAAACAAAAAACTGTTCTTTTTTCAAGAAACGACCACTTGAGCGTTGCAAACCACTAAAACTTTCACCAAAATTTTGTATTTTTCTGCGCTTACCATCTAATTTTTTTTTAAATTTCAAATTTTAACATAATTTTGCAAATGATACTCTCTAGTTCTTTCTATGATATTATATACTTTTCGAATACTTCATCAACTGAAGCCAGTTTATTTTTGAAGATTTAAGAAATTGACTGGTTATTAGTCGCATCACTAGCCTCTCCCGTCTTTTTCCCAGTTGACCAAATAGTGCTGTTTTGGGACTGGGCCATGGTGGTAGTTTCTGTTCACATCTGCTAATACACTCTGTTGCAACTGTTTCACCACCTTCCCACATGAGACATTTTGAGGCTTATAGACAGCTACGAGTCCATTCAACAATCGCATGAACTCAACTGAACTCTTTCTTCCCACAGTGCTCATTTTCACATCTTCAAATGACATCAATTCGAGGTCAAATATTGTAATCAGGGGTTACTCATAACAATGCCAGGCTAAACCGTGGAAAAATTATGTGGAAAAATTGCTAAACCGGCTGATAGAGCAATCCGTAGAAAATCATTCCAAAACTTATTTTATTAACTTTTTTCGAGAGTTAATTTTGCACCCTCCAAAAAGAATATCTTATTCAAAAAAAAGTGCGCAAGACAAAGTAACCAGACCTAAAAACAATAAATAACGAAAACTCGACAAAAATTTATTTATTACCCTTAGGTCATATGAACCCAGCGATATTATTGGGTTTTTTAAGGGATGTAGTAATAATAAATAATGACTTATGACTGTTTTGTTTTCATTTTAAAAAATTATTTGACATTGCCAAGCAATTAAAATTTTTCCGAGTTCAGTTCAATCATTTTCTTAGACTTTTCAAAATTGAACTAGAGCCTGATTGAAACCGGAACAATGATGGATACAAACAACTAGTTGATTTTCATTTCTTCTTTGCCTAACTCTCGTAGGTTGAGCCTACTTTTTGTACCCTAGATATTCCCGTTTTCATGTTTTCCTAAAATTCTGTTTTTCGGAAAGCTTTTGTGCCATCTGGGACTCGATCCTGGTGCCGCCGGGGATGTGATCCTTTGATTCTTTATATCTGACGCGTTCAGACAATTCGGCCACAGACAATTCAGCCAATTTCAAATTCAGACAATTCAGTCAAAATGAGTGAGACAATTCGGCCAAAGACTATTCAGACAGTTTTAAAGTTTTAAAACGTGCGCGCAAAAACTTTTCACATGCGCCAACACATCAAAGCTTTCATTAGACGACTTATAAGTAATTCCTTTCAAATGCACATAAAACAATTAAAATTAACAGAACCAAAAATGTCTAAGCATAATAAAACTTTATACAACCTAAAAACGTTATGTTTCCAATATTGGAATAATAGTTAAGCAAAAATCGAACTCTACAAAAACTGCGCAATACTTAAAAGTTAACCAATTTACACGAAAGCAGACCCGAAATTGGGAATTTACAGGCGGTCAAAAGGATATCAGTTAAAGGGCTGACCACCCCTACCACGTACTGGCCACACAGTTACGCTGATATTCTTATCATGCCTTAGGCGGGGGAGGGTGCAACCGCCTATCAGGTAATTTGGGTAGTTGGTTGAAACTAATTTGATACTTAAACTTTTTTAAAAGATAAACTAATTGCGATTAAAATATTGACCAACCAGAAACCAGTACCGCGTTTAGCGCCTACTTTTAGCAGTTAAATGGTCCATTGACACAATTAACATTGATTAATTTTCATTAGTAAGTAGCTTGAACAACTGGTTGATTAGTATCCGAATCATTCTCATTCATTCACTTTTAGCAAAAGTTGACGTAAAATGGAATTCGTAAAATCTGAACGCGGAAAAAAACATCTTTGTCTCGACGGTTATTGATACCGTGAAAAAAACCAACTTAAGAACGGTCTCATTAAATGGCAATGTACATTTGGAAATTGTAGAACAGTGGGTTATTTGAATGTCAAAAAAATTATTTGCTTGGCATTCGTTCCCATTGACGACGTTATTTTCGCTTTTGAGGCGCTCCGAAAAGAGGATCCCTCAGAGGAATTCCAGAGTCTATCAGACTACTTCGAAGACACCTATATTGGTGCTTGTCGAGGAAATAGACGCGTCAAACCAAAGTTTGATATTGCCGATTGGAACGTTTTCAATCGGGTGCTCAGCGGAGAACCTCGTACGAACAATGCGTTGGAGGCATGGAATGGCAGCTTCAATAAATTCGTATCGACAAAGCATCCAGCCCTCCCCAAGTTGATCACACGATTCAAAGATGAGCAAAAAAACGCCGAAATTAATGTAGAGAGACTGATGTCCGGTGATATTATCAGAAAACAGAAGCCCAAGTATTCAATAGCAAATGATAAACTCGTTCAAAACGCAAAAAACTACAATCGAGACCATATACAGAAGTATTTAAAACTGTGTACCTTCAATGTACATATTTCGTAAAACTTTATGCATAGCAAGTTTGTTTTGATCTTCGAAATTTGTTATTTGATGTTTTACATTTCTTTGGTAAACTGTTGAAAGCCTTCTGACTCTAATCAAATTAGAAAAGTTTTATTGTTCCCTTTTATCTTGTCTCTTTAATCTAAATCGGCCGAATTGTCTTTGGCTGAATTGTCTGAGTTTTTTGGCTGAATTGTCTGTATTTTAAATCGGCTGAATTGTCTGTGGCTGAATTGTCTCTGCGCCATATCTGATTTAGTGATCGATTTTTGATTCTTCATCTCTAATTACGCCCATATTTAATTAACTAACTCTTGTGGTTAACTTATCAAATAGTTTAAGGGTGACCCTGCGAGTCACGACGATTTTAGAGTTAACTAACAACAATTTCCACTTCATTTGAAGACTTGTCATTATGGAATATTTCCCAGCAGTTGACGAGTTGGTATGCGCGGGAAAAGCCAAAAAAAACGAGCTCACCAGAATGTTGATTAAATATGATCTACAATGCCTATTGCGCCAATCAGTATCTCAAATGAGTGTTAGAAAAATCAAATATTAGCTACAAATGAAGCTGTTACTTCACCTAGAGAAGAAACTGGACAAACTGGTTGATGAAAACCCGTTGATACCCTATGTAAACCCGATGATACCCTATGTAAACCCAATGATACCCTATGTACAACCACAAACACTCTGAAACCATGACTGAATGCAAGGCAAACTCAATTAAAGTGACAAGAATCAAACCCATCGAAAAAGATCAACAAACAAAACGAACTCGAAGTATCCCCGAGAAAGGAGCGACGGCTTATCAAAGAATTCTTAATGACAAAGAAGAAACCCACAAAATTGTTCAATTTCTGAACGTTCATTGTGAAGTTACGGATAAAAAACATCGTGAAACCCAATCTGTCAGTAAAAAAAAACAAGAATAAACGGATCCTTCTCATTATGCTGTCGAATGTAAGGCCAAAGAAAATTATTTTTCTTCCCTTTGGAAGCCGAAAATTTTACAAAATAGTATTAATGCACCAGTCTTCATTACAAAGTACTATACAACAGGAAAAACTAGAAACGGAAAACGGGTTGCTCAAACAACGCCTTGATCTGTTCTCAAGGGGAGTTGACCCGAAGAATCTATCCTAGAGGAACTTCAAATCGATCGAAGAGACGTACATAATCAATGGAAGGAGATACTTGCTGCTTCAATATCCGATGATTAATTACGTTCTCATGAAGTTACTACTAATTTTAACACATTGAATCAAATTATAAAACACGAACCGCTTCTTCTTCTAAAACCATTTTCTATCAAAAAAACCAAGCGCTTGTACATATCTTTAGTCTGATCTCACTATACACTGTTTTGACATCTGTTGACTAGTAACTTCTGTGAGACTGTCATCACTATACCAGGTCATCAACTACTGAGAAAAACTAGAAGTTCACTGACCTCGAAGAAAAAGAAAGGCGGAGGAGTTTGGATTTACATCAAAAACGAAATAAAGGCGACGAGTTGTCTTGAGGAAGAAAACACGCATTAGAAAAGCACCTGGAATTCATTTTCATATGAAAATATGATCTTGGCGGTTTTTTAATAACCACCTGATGCTGAAAAAGACCATGAAATTGCAGATCACATCATTTACACTATAGGCGAGGAAATTAACAGAAAGAGGAAAACGAAGTTTGTAATCTGGGGAGATTTCAACTATTTCGATCTCCCACTTTTATCTGGATGCAGTGAGGTTAAAATTAATAAAACTGAACCTACCAGGAACAAGTCACGCCCGATAGAGTATCAAATCACCAAACATATAATATGTGTCGGAGACTTTTAAACCTTCATTTCACACAGATCTTTTCGGCATAAATTGAAGAGGAGCCTTCATTAAACCAAAACGTGGGTAATTGCTCTTTCGAGACCAAAGAATCCAAAAACAAAAACGATTAAATTTGGAATAGGACAACACAATTATTGACTTAATTGAGAGATTTTGATTTTGAAGATGCAAAGATTTTGAGGATGCAATATAAAAAATCCACTCGATGCATACTGCTAAAACAGACGAATTCTGCCCTCAGAAGAAAATTCATATATCAGACTTGAAATATCTAACACAGAGGCAAAGCTGAGCTTCGCATCACTTGCGCGATACAACTAGATCTAACAAAATGAATGAGGATAGTTCTGAAAAGAAGAATCCAAGGAATATAATGCAAAAATCAGTATCGGAACACAATTAACCAAGCGGTGAGAAGCTGAAAATATCTGAGCAGAAGCTCTTTAGGCCAATTTATTTTTAAATTCAAAACTATTTTAAAATTTTCACGTCCCTCATCGCCTCATACCACACGCACAAGCATGCAAAATTTTGTTTCGCGCATCAAACGACGCAAAAAGAGGCTACTAAGCCAAAACCTAAAATAAGAAAAAAGAAATTCCAGCAAACCGAGTGGTAAAAAAGCAACAAACTATCAAAACGGAGGGGAAAATAAAAATTTTTCTTGAAACAACCCAAAATTAGGTCACTAAGCCGATAAAAACCCGCCAAAAATTTTTGGGCCGAAGAAAACTTTTCAGCGAAACAAAAAAATCAAAAAAAAGAAATACAAAGCCAATTTAAGTAAAATTCGACCGCTAAAAGCACCATGTAAGTAAATCAAACGCTATAAGCACCATTAAAAAATGCGCTCAGCAAAAAAAAAAACGATTCGCTCAGCAAAATATACGGCAACTCTGCCAACAAAAGATAAGCAGACAAATAAAAAGCCGAAAATTTCAGTTGAAACAGAAAATTTCACGTTTGAAAAAAAAACATGTCCTGGTCAGATTCAAACCAAGGATCTTTGAGTCGCAGGCGTATTCGTTACCTCCAGGCTAAAAATGGCCAGGAAAGCCAAAAAAATTTGAACTAATTATGAAACAAGGTACCACAAGAGATGAGTCC